AGCAATGCCTGTCTTAAACTGTAGGACTGAGAGGACAAAGGGGTTCTTCATCTTTAGGGTGCTTTATTTGGGAGCTGAAAAGGGGATCTTTTCTTTTGCCCTTAGGGTCTTTTTGAAGGGGGCTTTTTCTTGGGAAGTAATGAAAAAAACACATGACTTTTGCCTCATGTTGCACTTTTCCCCACACCACAGGGTGGATGGAAGGAGTAAAACTCTCAGACCGGGAGAGAGGCTGGTTCCCCTCAGAACATGTGGAACACATCTCCAGCAAACACGTGCGGCAGAAGAACCTGAAGGAGGAGCAACGGGTGAAGAATGCCAAGCAGCAGGTCTTCTGCAAGAAATAAGACTGCTTGGACCTGGACAGTCTCCCTGCCATGAGGAAACGGTGGCTTTTCTATCATGCCTCAGAAGAAATGACTCTGCAAAGAGCATAATACACAGCACTTTGACAGGACCAGGTGCTTTTTGCCAAAGAAAGCGGGAATTCAATCAGGAAAAACTTCCTTTGTGTCAGCAGGACTACAGCAGCAAGAGGAGGAATAAAGGTTGCATGTATTGCTTGCTTTGTGGTAGTAGGGAGGGACTTAAATTGGACAGAGGTCTGGGCTCTGGACTTCTGAAAACAAATTCCTGGTTTTGCCACTGACAAGTTGCGGGACCTTATGTGAATCACTTCAGAGTTCTGCCTCAGTTTTGCCATCTGCAAAATGGAAGTAAACTTACCTACCTCACTGCATGTTGTGAGGCTAAATTCACTAGTATTAGCAGCCTGAGAGCTTGGAGTTCCTGAGAAGGAAGGTGCTAAGTGCAAAGCACAACAGAGCTGAGGAGAATATTCCGTTTCAATATCCTCTGGATACCTTCATGGCGTTGATCTCTATAGTGTAATTTCCATTTTGGGCAATTTAAGTATTAAATCATGCAAGTGTACTGGGGTTTGGATAGGCAAATATTTAATTTTACCCAAATGCTGTCCTTGACAGCATTACAAAATCCACTGGAATTAAGCAGAGTTTTCAGAAGCCACTGTGATGATTTCCCCCACATAAGAGGTACCATGCTGAGGAATCTGCTTCACAAAGGTCACTTCTCTTCTGAACAACCATCCCACTAAGCCATCTGACCTCTTTTTTACTCTGCCTCCCTCTGGAAGTAGATCAGTGACTTTTGACACAGATTTATGTATTTCGTGTTGGTACCCACCCCATACAAAATAACGAGGACTAGGCACATGCAATGAAGTGGCACTTTACTGCTGCTCCTACTCTGATTGCTGATGTGGTAATGCATGCACCATTTTGCACACTTACAGAGAACACTGAAATATTTAGCCACTGTAGATAAAGTCAAAATATGCACCAGGGTCTTTATTCTTTTTAAGAACTCTCTGGTTTTAAGTCCAGTTTACATGCATTTGTGCAGAACCTGCCTGTTTGAGGATATGCCTTCAACTGTAAAATACTGTATCTGTGTTAAAGTGTTCAGCTCAGTCAATGCAAGATCAAGTTTAAGAATCAATACACTAAAGAAAGCCACTTGTAGCCTTCTTGCATTTAATATATTTGAAGAATTAGTTATCTTTGTATCTCCAGCTTTGTCTCTGTAACATTCTGCTCTTGTATCTAGAATAGCTTATTGCAGCCTATTTATATCAATAATTTTAGCTGGATTAAAAGAAGAAAGAGTTGCTTTTAGTCCTAATAAACTCATGCACTTCTCCAGTTAAAAACCTTTCTGTTCGCCTTGTTACTTAGGTTTTCCTCTCAAATGTAAGTAATGCAATTTACTGAATATACATGCAGTATTTTTTTCCTATGACTTCCCTTTCTAAGTGACTGTTAAGTACAAACAGCTCTGTTTAGCAGAGACATTATGGAAAGCTGCGTTTATTCAGCCTTAAGATTCTTCAGTGTTACCCCTGGCCCGGGAGAGCTGATGTTGCTGGTTCCAGAGTGGTGTTAGTCATCCATAACTGAAGGTAAACTGAAGGGATGAACTACCGAAAATGGGAGTCTAGCCCACTAAAGCAGAAAGACAGGACCCAGTTATTCAACTTTTAAGCTATGGTTCAGACAACAATCTGCTAACACCTTTTCTCCCCCCCACCAGAAGGAGTGGAGTTGGTCCCAAGCTAAGAGCCAAAACAGAGCTTTACCTCAGACTCACACAAGAAGGGTTATAGTCCTCCACAAGACCCAGAATGTTCAGATATCTCAAATGCCTGTTTGTCCCATGCTGTCATGAATTTATGCAGCTCCCAAGTCCCCAGGATTGTCAGTGTGTCAGGTGGGACACAGAATGCTGCTATGGGATCTATTCAGCACGTCTGTGTAAGGTCATCTCATACAGGCAGTCGAGGCATCCCACATCCACTTCAGCTTCATCCAGGAGAAGCCAGCCATACATATTCCCATTCTAAATTAGAAGTCATCTTGTTCAACAGCCCAAGTTGAGAGCTCTTTAACTCAACTTCTGCTCTTGAAAGCAAGCAGGCAGATTGTTCATTAGAGCCTCCCAAAGTGGTTTCTGTGCTAAATTCCATATGTTGTTAAAATTCCACTTGACATAGGAAACTTAAAGGATACTGTTGTCATGATTGACAGCACTTGTACACTCTTTTTAACTAGTTGGATCAAAGGTTAACTTGTCCCTGTCACAGGTATAGCCTTTATTTCCTGATGTCAGGCCTTTGTATGTTGAGCATTTAAAGGTCAGCTTCTAAGAATAAGTGCTTATACCCCGGGTTACTTTGATTTCTTAGATTTCAGATAGGCCTCAACTTCTCACTATTTAGTTAAACTTTTAGCCCCAGCACCATCCTGCCACCAAAATCCATAAACAAATTTACACTGAAGTGCTTTTTGAAACTGATTGACATCTCTGATTCGTACAAACTCAATCAAACTAGTACAATATCCCTCCCAACTGCACATTCACAGTGCAAGAATCAAGTTAGCAGAGTGCCTACTGTGTTCTGTGACAGTCTTAATTATTTGTCAGGATTTCTCCCCACATTATCTAATACCTGATTTACCAGAAAATCAGTATTAAACAGAAGCATAGGGTATGTCATGCAAATCCCAACACTTTCTTGCTGTTCCCAAAGACTCTGTGAGAGGTGCCACTGTATCTTCCCCAGGAACCTGTGGAGATTGATACAAAGTGTATCTGGAAAAAAGAAATTCAGGATTTCTACACTGAAAAAAGGGAAATAATTAAAGACAACCATCAGAGGGCAGGTACACTAATTTCTTTTTGTGACAAGGATAGCAATGAAGTACAAGCATGAGCTGCATTTAAAAAGTCTTGTTGAGAAGCCAAGAAAGTCATGGTGTATGTCTGAAAATCAAATTATATGACTGCTGACATTTTTCATATAAAATAGTTTAAAACACATATAAGTATAAAGTAGTTTTATATCTATATATATACACATATATTAGTATATATATACATACATATACATATATATATGTGTGTGTGGTTATATATATATATGTATGGCTCCAAAAAATCCCCAAATCTCCCTGTGCTGGAGTCCAGTGTTGGTCCCTCCTCAAGGAAAATGAAGCATTTTCCACAGTTCCTACTGTTCTCACAAAAAAGGTGTCATTAGGACCAGAGTTCAGTAAATAAACACAACCTTGCACAGAAACAATGTTTAAAGCAGATAGCAATTTTTATATTTGCACTTTTTCTAATATTGAAGAGGTCCCATGACCCTCCAAGATCGTTGTGTCTTGTCAGCTGAATGCTGTTAACAAATTAAATGCCATAGTAGCCCCAACTTGTTGCAGCTGATGGCTGAACCAGGTGCATTGTTACACCAATTATACTGGCTCCATCCTGATGAAATGACTCTCAGGTGAAAGCATGTGCAGAAGTAAGGCCTTAGAAGCTAAAAATGAATGTTGAAACAAAGGGGGTTTGAGGGAACCCTCGGGAGGAGAACAACAGCAACACAATGGTGAGCCAAAAAATAGGAGGAGGATGAAGGACATTGTATTTTGGTGCATCAAAACACAAGGGAGTCTCATTCTTCATGCAAGCACTGCCTGGTGCTGCTCTGTTAGGTCTTTTTACTAAGAATTGTTAAGCACTGAAAGGACACAAATTGCAGCACCCAAAAGTCAGGAAGTGCCATTTGTTCCTTGCAACCCCCAGCTGCTGAAGAACCAGAAACTGCTGGACACCTGCAGGCAGGTTAAAAAACAAATGTCTTCCTGCTAGGCCCCAGGAAAAGAACAGAATCATGGAATCCTTAGATTTGGGAGGCACCTCTAGAGATGCTCTAGTCAGGGTCACCTAGAGCAGGTGACACTGGAACATGTCCAGATGAGCTTGGAATGTCCCCAGAGAGGGAGACTCCGTTCCCTCCCTGGGCAACTGTTCCAGGGCTCTATTAAAAAAAAGTTCTTCCTCATGTTGAGATTAAACGTTTTGTGTTTTAGTTCATGGCCATTGCTCCTTGTCCTGTCACTGGGCACCACTGAAAAGAGTGGCACCATTCTTATGCTACCCCTTTAAAGATGTTTATATAAATTATGAGATCCCCTCTGTCTTCTCCAGCCAGAACAGGCCCAGCCCTGCAGTCTCTCCTTGTAACGTTCCAGATCCCTCATCCTCTTTGTTTCCCTCCGCTGGACCCTGTCCAGTAGCTCCTTGTCCTTCTCGTATTGAGGAGCGCAGAACTGGGTCTAGCAGTCCAGACAGCAAGGTTCCCCTCATCCACGGCTGGGCGAGTTTTGCAACACCGAGGTTCACGCGTCGATAATTCAGCCAGCTCCCCACGGGGAGCGTTCTTCCCCATATCCTCACCGAGGCTGGAACATTCCAGTTTGGGGACAAGGCCCAGCGTGGATCCCGGGCCCGGCTGGGGGGTAGGGCGGCCTCCCGCGCTCTGCCCAGGTGCCCTTGATGAGGCAGCTGGGGCCGGGCAGGACGGGCCGCCGGGTGGGGCATTAACCGGGCCGGGCCGGGCTCGCCGCGGAGCCGGCATGGACGGGGCGGGCGAGGAGCAGCGGCCGGAGGAGCGGGCGGCCGGAGGGCTGGGAATGGGCAGTGGTAAGGAAGGGTATGGATGAGGGTAGGGGGATTAGTGATGCCGACTCGCGTTAATGACGGGGGAAGGCACCCGGCAATAAGCCTAATGAGCAGCCCCGGGGGAGGATAATCGCTGCTCAGCGATGTTATCTGGGCACTCATTAGCCTCTCTCAGCCCCGCCGTGTCCTGACCCCGCGGCTGGGAATGATGGATTCCCCGGCCCTCGTGTCCCCTGGCTTGTAAAAGCACCTGGCTGAGGGTAGGGGGCAGGGGGGTCTTTCCTTCGTGTCACACCGAGGGGCTCCCGCTGCCTCGGTGTTTCTCATTTGCACCTTCCCCTGCTGTCCGCTTTTCCTTGTGTGAAGGGACCTCTGAAGCCGTTTCTTTGGTCCTGCCGTGTGTGTGTGTGTGTGTGTGTTCAGGTGGCTTTGTACCCCAAACAACCAAAATGACCCAAACAACCCTAAAAACCTTCAAGTTCAACTAGTTGGCTTGTTCCAAGGAATGTCCAAGAAAGTGGTTGTGAGATGGAAAAGAGGGCTTGGCTTCCTGAAAGTGCACCAGGTGTCCCAAATTACCTATTCCTGATATTCCCACTCAGTTAAAGTCCCTTCTACTTAATGTTCTGTTTGTCTAAAAGGGGGACAAAGTGATTTTCAGTCTCGTCTCTAAATGATGGAAGAAAGGAGTGGTTTTATAACTTCCCTCTTTGTTGCCAGGAAGGCCCATTTTCCCTCCAAACTTGGTTTTCATTTCGACTCTTTTCCTTGGTAGTCCCAAACTGTTGTGAGGTCTTTGCTATCTGTTCTAGAAATAAAACACAGCAGTTTAATTTAATTTGGAGGACATCTGTCAAGAATATTAAATTACCAGGTGTCCATTTCTGCTACAGATACAAGGTACCCACATAAGACTTGGACATGTATTTTGTGATGTAAACACATACTGGGGTTTGCATAGAAACAGTTAAAAACACTGCATCAACTTGTGTGAAAATACTTTCCCTCCCTCCCTCCCTCATATGATGAGTGAGACAAACTCAGATGCTACCAGGAGGATAGAGGAAAAAGGAATTACATAGACCAGAGACATCTTCTGCCTCATTCACTTCTTGACCCTCCCCATCAGGATATTTCATCTCATGTAACTGCAGTGGAAACTTGTTGCTGCTTAACAAGATCAAATTATTAAAGCTGCATTGTTTCCTGCTTCTGTTTCTTTCCCCTGCAACTAAATAGGCTTTCTTAATCCTGTAAAAGCAAATTAGATGCTCTTGGGCAGAGCATCTTGGAGCGGCCTGCCATCCCCTCATACTTGTATGAAGTTTCTGTCATCTGCCTAGAATTGTAGGGCTCCTCCTTGATTAACAGTTGTTTCAGAAAGAGACATTCAGGCAGAAGCAAACCTTTTATTTTGGCATTGCATTAATATTGATCAGAAAAAGAGCACAGTGAAATGAAATTATTTTATCTTTTTCCTTAAAAAATTAAACTATTAAGTTTCTCTGTTGTCACATGCTACTGAAATGTTGCCAACAGTCTGCATCATACTTTCTTCTCTCCAGACAGAGGCAAATACATGGGTTTGGGTTTATTACTCTACTTCCTATTCTTATGAATGAATCACTTATTTAAAAAATTTCAACTAGCAGAAATCACAGACTCACACATTCTGAGCCACTGGGGAGGTTTTTGGAACTTTTTATTTGTAAATGTATGTGCCAGCTGGGAAAGTATAAGGCTTCTGCCTTATTCTGTTGCCTATTTTAATTATTTCTTTTGCTGTGTTCTTTTTGATCTGTCTTCTATTATCCAGTCTGTCTTATTGTAACACACTTTGTGTATTTTGTTAAACTTTCTTAGACTTTTGTACCTAATTTTGTCCTTATCCCCCTATTTCATTCCCTATCTTGTAAGTCTATTACTCAGAACTCTGGCTGAAGCTTCAGAGAAATAATTTAAGGCAGTTAGAAGATTGTACAATTAGTGGTTTTTTGCTTGTCCAGCTTTGGTATGATAGAATTCTATGAAAGTAAAAAAGTGGTGACGTTTGTCAGGTAATCCCTGATGACACAGTAGACCAGAATTTTGCTGTCTTTCTTTTGCTCATTTTAATAAGGTGACAGGATCTTGCCATGTCATTGATTTTTGTTCTGTTGCTTATTCCAGAGACCTGTAGTATCCATGGGGCTGTTTTCCCACTACTGTATTTGTAATATGCAAGCTTCCCTTTAATCTCTGTGTCTGGAATTACTCTCTTCTGTAGTTTACACTTTGCTTTTAAAATGAGGCTTTTCCCATCACACATTTGAATATCTCCATATTGACCATATCAGGTTCTTTGCTATTGCTTTCCTGGCAGCACCTGTCTTTATTTTGAGCCCTCTGGTTCTTGTCACTGTTGGGTTTTGTTGTGTGGCCTTTTCATTCCCCCATAACTGCAACTCCTGATCCAGGTACATCCACCTTAGGCAATGGGCATGTGGGTGGGGTTTAGGGTTTTTTCCTCCATTTTTGCCTTGTAGAGTGCCAGGATGAGAAGGAGAACTCATTGCTGAATGCAGAGCACTTTGTGGTGGATGCTGATGCTGTTGGTGGCCACAGTGCAGGGAGCAGTGTGCTACCTACACTCCCAGACGCAGCCAGACAAGAAAAAGTTGAAGATAACTTGGGAATAGAATATAGGAACAGCTTTCTAAAGAAGGTGAAAGAAGATGGGGGATGCAGCACCCTGCGGGCAACTGGGTCATCTTCCCAAGGCTCCATTGTCCTTGATGGCCAGCATGACTTTGCCTTGGCGTGTGGGCAACCGTCGGATTTCTGCGGTAACACGAAGGTTGGATTAGCACAGGAGCCGACAGGTCAGTCAGGGTCACAAGAGCACACTGAGAGTTACTGCCATGCTGGGACTGAAAAGGAGGCAGAGAAGGAAAAAACTAAGAAAGCATCCAATGGAGTGTCTGGAGCTCCCTGCAGGCAGGAGGAGATCGGCCCGGTCCCTCACCGATCCAGAGGTACTCCAGCCAGCGCTGCAGCTCTGAATTCCTACAAGGGCTCTTCAGTCCTGGAGTCCAGAGGCAGCTGTGATGTGGCCATGGGAAAAAAATCCTTACCTGTCAAGAAGAAGCCCCGCACCTTCTATAGTGCAGGTAGATCCCAGGGCACAGACTGGCACACAGTGACACTGGCAGTGCCGGTGGCACTTGGTGCTCCCTTCCCTGTGCCGATCTGCTCTAACTGGTATTGCACTGTACTCCACACCATTAGATGTGTGAAGACTTCCACTAATAGAGATTGCCGAGTGTCTTTCCTTTGAAACATCACTTGCAATGCTCTTTGCTTTTGAAACAGCAAAAGATTTTTGTTTATTTTTAAAAAAATCCTTTCTATTACTCATATATTTCTAAGGATAGTAAAAATGTTCATTTTCTTTTCTCTCTTATTTCTCGTTTCCCTCTCATGTTGTTTTTTTTTTTCTTGTTTTCCTGTCACATACTTCCCATCTCTCTCTCTCTTTGGACAATGCATAATTTTTAGAGCAGCTAGAAGAGCTGGAGAGGATGTTCCAGGAAGATCACTATCCAGACAATGAGAAGAGGAGGGAGATTGCAGCTGTGGTTGGTGTGACGCCACAGCGTATCCTGGTAATGCCTGCTGGGGGACGGTGCTGCCTGTGGGTTCTGTGCAGAGAAGGGATAGGCAGGGACTGGACATTGCCAGTGTTCCATGTGTAGATGGTTTCTTCCCTGAATGCATTCCTTCCTTCCCATTTTTCAGGTCTGGTTTCAGAATCGCAGGGCAAAGTGGCGGAAATTGCAGAAGTTGAGTATAAAAGACAACAAAAAATATCCATCATCATCAGCTCTGTCAGTCCCCTTTGGATCAGAGGGTTATGGGTGAGGAATTTACTCTGTTTTGTCATTTTTCTACGACTGATACCTAAGAAATTAATTATTTTCTTTTGCTGTTTCCCCTTTACCTTTAAACAGCGAAGAGCTGAGCATTGAGTCGGACCTAGGGAGCCTGTTAGATTCCTGGGAAAATTGTGGTGGGCCCTCTTAAAAGTCCTTTTGATTAACCTGTAGCACAGATTAATCAAATTAATTTTGTCATGTAACTATTGAAATTGCTCTGTAGAGAGCAGGGGATGAGATGGAAAAGTTTCTGGAATCATCTCTTCATTTTTAGTTTCTGTGAATGCATTGGCCAGGTGCTTTGTGTGTGTTTGGGGATTCTTCTAATGGAGTTCCTCCACCACTGCTTTCCATCTCTATGGATTTTTCACTTGGTGATGGAAATTCTGCTTGCTTAGATCAGTCTTAGAAAGTCATGGACTTCTTTGAAGAAATACAAGGTAGCACCTTTCATATGTAAGAAGAGGGCATTAAAGGGGGGAAAGGGAATATGTGAGAGGATAGATGGTCTTTCAAGGGATGGTGAATGTGTGAGGGGAGAAATCAATCTCCATAGGGATGTATTTATGGCAATCTGGAGTGAGTGTCTTCTTATGAAGAAAACAGAATGAAAGAAAGGAAAAATTAAGTGGAAGAGGAGAAATTAAAGTGAAAGTTTGGAGAGCGCCTTACTTCATTGCACTGTTCCTGCTGCCTGTCCTATACAAGTCTCTTGGGGCTACTACCCCAGAGACTTTTGCTACAGGATTCCTTGCCCTTGTAGTCAGCCAGTGCTTTCCCTTTGCACTTGCTGGTGATATAAGATCCTTGTCAGATAGAAGAGTGTATGATTGGTCATAACGCCCTGCTTTGTCTTCTGTGTCTGCTTCAGGGCACTTCCTCTGCCTGTGCCTCCATTGCCTGATGCTGCTGGAGACCAGCCTGGCATGCTGGGAAGAGACCCTGGAGCTATGAACTCCTCCAGCCTGTTCAGCACACTTCCTGCATCCCCCACCTCTGCCTCAGGTGAGATCCTGACCAACACAAGTGTTTTGCACAGCTGCAGCATTAGCTGGTGGAGCTGGGAGGTTCCCAAATGCTTTAGGAAAGGCCATGTCAGAGCCTTATGCCATCAGTGCAAAAAGTGACACCAGGTCATTCCACAGGCTGAGAAAGTTGGAGCTGTTCTGCCTGAAGGAGCAAAGGTTTTGTGGAGACCTCAGAGGAACCTTCTAGTATCTAAAGGGGTCTACAGGGAAACTGTAGAGGGACTTTTCATCAGGAACTGTAGTGGTGGGACAAGAAGGAATGGCTTCAATCTGAAAGAGAGGACATTTAGTTTAGGTATTAGGAAGAAGTTCTTTCCTGTAAGGGTGGTGAGGCACTGGCACAGAGAAGCTGTGGATGCCACATCCCTGGAAGTGTCGAAGGCCAGGTTGTATGCGGCTCTGAGCAACCTGGGATAGTGGAAGGTGTCCCTGCCCATGGCAGGGGTGTGGAATGAGATGATCCTTAAGGTCTCTTCCAATGATTCTGTGACTGTAGGTATAGCAGCTCACTGATGATTGAGTCTCTACCAGTTATGTACCAGCACCGTGGTTCCTCTGTGCTAATTCTGGAGACAGGTTTGTAGTCCTTGTTTCTGTCCTAGCACAAGCCAGCAAGGAATTCTGAATAGGACTTCATAAGGATAAGTGGGCAGGGCATTCTTCCATAACAGCTGTTTGACAGTGGTCCCGCTGTTGTAAACGATGAGGGAAGTGTTGTTCTGGTTCTGATGTCACTTCCCATATTCTGGTTTGGATGGAAACATCCTGGCTACAATCTGAGCCAAGTGAGCTGCGTAAGGAAGGTGCACTCTGTAAACTGCTGGTGTTGTAGAGGCTCCATCAGGTACTCCACACCTTAAATCATCCAAAGGGGCTTCCTTGCCTTCTCCAGGCAGGGCAGATTTCCATTTTATGCAAGACCTTGAGGCAGTGAGAGTGACTGAGTTCCAAAGCTGAGGGCCGAGTTTAAACACTGTTGCAGTGGCGTTTTAAGTCGGCGGGGTGTGCTGTTCGACCAGTTTTCTACCCGAGCTGTGTTAAAAGATTGATGGTGGTGAAAGAGAGAGGATTTGTCTAATTGTTTATTGATATGTGCAGTCAAAGAGCATTCCCTAGAGTCAGGGGTGCTCCCTAAAGCATTTCCTAGATACTTTTGTGTTTCCAAGTTGGCACAATATGAAAAGATTTCCAAAGTGCTGAGGACTCCGCCACTTTTTTAGGGACGGATATTCCAAGCAGTAGATGTGCTGACATGTGGTACTGCTGTGTGTTTTCCTGCTTCCCAGTGTAATTAATTCTTTGGGATTTCATGTCATTATGTCTGTCTCCTCGTTGTGCTCTGAATATATCAGTATTTAGTTATCTGTATTAAGCCCAGTTCCTGCAACTAATTTTCTTAGAATTACTCAAAATTTTTAATAGTGGTTTTACCTCTAGAGGTATTTTGGTATGGTGGAAAGCAACTGTAAGATTGCATCAATAAGTTTAGAATGCTTTATGTATTGCTAAAAGTATGTAATTGAGATACTTTCTTTATAACCTAATCTAGTACTTCCGTCATTTAAGTTTGCCTGTCATCCTCTCAAAGCAACAGCTCCTTTAGTCAATCCAATAACCTTTTTAACCAATAGGACTGTAATTCAGTTAGCTGCAGTTTTTCCACTTCCACTATCCCAGATTGCTCAGAGCCCCATCCAACCTGGCCTTGGATACTCCCAGGGATGGGGCATCCACAGCTTCTCTGGGCAACTGAAGCCAGGGTCTCACAGGGAAGAACTTCCTTCTAGTATCCAACCTAAACCTACTCACTGTCAGTTTGAAGCCATTTGCCCTGTTAGGCAGTGCCTGTCAGAGAATTAAGTTTCGTTCAGGGACACGATCTTGTCTTCTGCTTGCATTGAGCCATTTTTTTCTGGGGGATCTCCACAATGGGATGCAGCTCTCCATGTGGAACACTTCTGCTAGGAAAGACAGGTATCCATTCTTGGTGCAATGTGTAAGGAAGAAAAAAGGGCAAGTGTCCTCTGTGAAGGAAAAGACTGATATTACATGTAGAGAATCCTTGTAGAAGAAAGATCTGCATGGCACAATCACCTGGAAAGCGCCAGTTGCAGTTTTGCCTTACTAAATGCAGGATAACACAACTATGGGGAATGAAACTCACTTTTTTTGTTGCTGTTTACCATTGCAAAATCAGACTTTTTCTCTTTAAGAATGAAAGCAAAAAATGAAACAGAAGGAAAATTAAAGCCAACATGACTTGAATTCATTCAGCATCCTTGTTCAGAAAAAAAAGCTGGCCTAAAAATAGGGCCATCCATGGACCACTTGTTTTCTTTATTAGGACATCTCAGAAAATGAAGGAAGATAGGATATAACCCTAATTTATAAGGATGAATTAACAGGAGAAAAACAAAAGAGGAAACAGATTAATAAAAAAGGTTATCAATTTACAAGGCAAAAGCAATTGCTTAGTAGTGTCCCTTATGGTAAACAGTTCATGGATGGTTTCAGCAAAAGCCTCTGGGATCTGTGCAACATGGTGCAGTTGGGCCCACAGAGTGTGACCTGCTGGAGTGACTATTCAGGTGCTTTCCTTTTTAACCACTTTCAGCAGGACAAGAAAATTAGGTGCATGAGACCTCTGCAGAGTGTTCAATGCTGCAATTTCCATTGTTTTTCCTTGCTCTATCCAGTACTTCTGACTATCTGTTGGTTTGTGGGTTTGGTGGGTTTTTTTTTTATGTCCCGCTATTTTTACTAGTTCTCCAAACAAGCTGATTAAAAAAGTCAGTGAGTTGCATTTGAGATGTGCGTTACCTTGCTGGTAGTTATGGCTTCTGATTTGGATATAGCAGCCACACTACTTGCCATAAGAACCTTTTGTGCCTCAAAACTTCAATTTTGAGCATGCTTTGATCACAGAAATGTTTTGGTTTTTTGGTTATTTTTTTAATTTTGCTAGACATTGTGATTAAAATTAATGGCTTTTTTTATTTACACTGGCAGTTACTTGAAGCTTTTCTTGGTCTTCTGAGATTTCTTACTCATACATATATATCTGTGATTCATTGGCTTATGTTTTCCCATTAGAAAGAAAAGTTCCTTTCTGTGCCTCTGGTTTGTGGGCAGAGATTTTTCTGTCTCACTGGTGCTTTTGCAGGAAATCCTTTGTTTCGTGCATCTGCCTTGCTAAGGATACCTGTCAGGAGTGCAGCCTATGCAGGTAACTCTTAAGGAAATAGCAAGATGATTAAATTCACTGGCAGAGGTGGGATTCTAATGGAAATCTTGGGACAATTGGATGAAGCTGGATATGGTCTGTCAAAGAACAGTAAATAAACTACAAGCTCCCATGACTTCACTTATAGGACTCTGGCTTTCAAACAAATTTGAAAACAAATATGTTTTCTCATAATTTCAAGACAGGGACGAATCTAAGGAAAGCTTTGTGATGGTCCTTGATGTTCCAGTAAAGGCCTGAAATAGAATAACCATTCTAGAGTTAAGTCAAGTCTAGTGCCAGGACTGGTTCAGAGATCTGAAGCTGTAAATTATTAAATTGCTCTCCAAAATTCCCAAGGTCATCTCATGGACTGAGAACCCAGGAGGAATGGAAGCAAGAAATAAAAATTCTACTGTTACATTCCCATGTTCACTGGAAAGCCTTCTGAGATTCTCTCTCTCTACATCAGTGTCAGGAAGAGTTGCAGAATTGTGCAGTGTAAGTGTTATCTTAAGCCAGGGGTCAGAATTCTTCATGGAACAGCTCTGGAATCTTCTGTAGATATGTCAGATTCAGCAGATATTACTTCTCTGGGTATTGTTTCTTCTTACTGCACTTGTGACTTTATTTAGAAACACAATTTCAGTGTCTCTTTGAAAGGACAGAGGAGCTGAGGAAACTTTAGAAAAGGCTGAACCAGCTCTTTGGAGATCAAGGGTGCTGTCTCACAGTCTCATTGCCTGGGTGTCCTATTGCCATGATCCACAAAGATTGTCTGCACTAAGCATTGCAAATATTTTTTAAAAAATAAAATTCTTAGTAGGTATGAAAGTGGGTTTAGAAGTGATTTCCTGGGCTGCTTGTGTCCATCCTGAGGAGGAGCAGGGCTGTCAGCAGAACAGCTCATCCTGCTGTCATTACTGAACTGGAGCTTTACCTGGATATAGACTGGTTTTCAGGTAAGTTGTGTCCCCCATGGCTGCTGTTCCATAACATTTGGGTAAACATTCTGGGGCACAGTGGTCAGGAGAATCAGTGCTAAAGAAGAGTTTTTAAAAAAAATCAGAAGTGATCTTCATTTCTGGCTAAGCCAAAAACCTGGAATGTGACAGGCACATCACAGATGCTGCCTGGCATGGATAAATAGTGTGTTCAAACAAGAAAAATAAACCACTGAGAACTGCCTGGGAATGGGAATGCTTCAGAAATGCCATCCTAGATCTTCAGTTTTCTGACTGAGCCCAAAATCAGGGCTATTGAAAACTTGAAAACAGCTTCAAGTTTTCATTGAAACATTGTGATTCCTTCTTTCTGTGGCTGCAGAGAGCTGGAAAAAAAACCAGAATGTGGGAAGATGCAATAAGAGGCACAAAGCTGCGTAGCACAGTGAGGAATCTGAGAAACAGTGCTGTAAGATGTTGAAGTGGAAACGCCTCATTAGCTCTCTGGACATGCATTCCAGAATTGTCTTAAGGCTGCTCATACTTGTGGCATCTTTATGTTTAAGTTTGTGTTTAAGGCCTTTGAGTCACACCTGATGGAGTGCACTTGATGTTACTGTCTATGCCTGCAAGGCTGAAGTGCAGCTGCAGACCTTCCCTGAAACCTTTGCCATGTGTGGGAGAGCTTCACCTTAGCACCTCGTCTTCCCTCTCCCCCTCCCTCCCCCTCCCTCCCCCTCCCTT